CAAAATGTGGTCCTCAGCCCAGCAGCACTGGCAGCACTGAGGAATGCATAACCTCAGGTCCCACCTCAGAACTCCTGAATCAGAATCTGTATTTGTATCAAGATGCCCAGGTGACTGATCTGCACATTCAAGTTTGAGAAGCACTGCTTTAAAAATAAACTCCTCGGTAGGAACTGAAACTTATATAACCAGTCTGAGACAAGTAATAAGGTGATCTTTAAGCCTTTTGCACCAATTTAACCATAGCACTGGGAAAAATGCATAATCGCTGCCTCTCAACTTGAAGAGAAGGACACACATCTTGCAGTACACATTTGTCAAATACTGAAAAGGGAAACTGAGCCACTAGGAAAATAAAGGCTCTTCTAGGCCACTTGGATTATTAATTTAAAAAAAGCGGGGGGGGGTACAAGTAAGAAAAAAAACCCCACCAACACAACAGTAGTTTTCCTCCATGTATGTGATGAACGGGACATGTTGCCAAAGACTTCGTTCCAAAAATCCAAAACGGGGCAGCAAGTGCCACATGACAAAGTGTGGCAGCTGGGGACAGGAGTGTGAGGAAACACTTCCCAGAGATGTAATTTAGGCCAGGGTAGCTATCAAGTGCTGAGGGTGAAAGGGGGAAATTGCAGTGCGTACACTTTCTCCCATCAACATATCAATCAGCAACCCAAGACAAAAAGAAAAGACAGGGCCTGCTCACAGAAACGATTCAATCCTAGAGTTACCTGAAATGAAGAGAGGGAAGTCTCACATGCTTTGAAATTGAAAGCAAAAATGTTCTACTGGCCACAATATTCTCTGGAAATATTTCTTAGTTATTTGGCTGGAAATATAGTAGCTGCTTTGAGATGCAAAGGTCTACGTGGAAAACACGTTAGAGACTTAAACAGTGTCTGGAAGGAAATGAGAATCACATATCTCCAAGACGAGCTTGGTATTAGTTTGTGGCAAAAATTGAAGCCATAAAATAATTCAACTGAACCTCGGCAACCCTAGAGTGTGAAGAAAACAAATGTAACTGTGACCAGGCCACTGGTACTCAGAGACACCACTCGGCCTGTTTCTACCCAAGAAAAAAGGTTACTGTAATCATCCCTTGCAAGAGCAGAATTCGAATGACTCCAGTACATTTAGCAACAAAATGATAAGAATGCCCTCATGTGTTACGTTACATTTCCCTTGAGATACTTTGGCAAGGCTGAGAAGAGAACTCACCCTCATTGAGCACCTGCTATCTGTGTTACATGTGTGATTTCATAACACCCTCATAATCCTCTGAGAAGGGCTGATACTGTCCCCATCTTACAGGTGAGCAAAATGAGGTCCAAAGAAATATTTCACCCATGTGACAGAGTTAATAAAAAGCCAGAACTCCACGAAGTTAAACGCCACAATTGATTAAAACAGGTATCTCAACAAAAGACAGCTTGGAAGGCATCAGAGTATGAGGCTGTTATGTTTTGAATAAGGGGAAAGGACTTGTCTATACTGGCATCAGTGAAGATAAGTGAGGTTTCGCCTAGTGCCCACCATATCTGTATTCTGCTGGAATCCTCCTATCACCCATTTCTTGATGTGTATTAGGTTTCAGATGTATTTCAAACTTCATCATTGTAATTTTGGCTAAGTTGGAGGGTTTAGAAGACTTGGCATAGTTCAGGCAGTATTATGTAACAGAACTGAGCCCTGGTCTGGGCCTGGGAAACCTGGGTTCGGTTTTATTTTTTTTTTTTACCTACATGAGGCTGGACCTTTCTGGGTCCATGATTCAACCCTCCCTGACTCAACTGTTGAAGATTGTGACTCCCATCATAATGTATTAGAAATGACCTGAAGAGTTAATAGATCTGTCCAGGTGAGACTGCTGTGTGGTTCAAGTTACCAAATAAAAACCAAAAAACAAAAACCCCACAAAAATAATTACTTAACTCCTATACTCTACTACCTGCAAGAGTACCCTGGAATGTCATATGTCTGAAAATCCAAGCTCTATCTCCAATTAGTTCTTTGACTTTATATATGTTTCCTTTTTGCTTCTGTAAAATTGGAATTAATAAAAAACATTAGCTGTAATGCAGTAAAGTGGCACTTAGTAGGAGCATAACAATAACTGGTTATTGTTACTCCAATGGTCAGTAGGGGTTTGGACTATGGTTCGGTAATAGTTTAGAGGGAATTTCTTCACAGAGGGAAGGAGCCTGAGAGTGTAACCTCATTAGCACCGAGAACTTGCCATTAACCTCTGCAATAGATAAACTCAGGTGCAGAATGGAGAAATGTAATCATGCTTCTTCTGGACCTAGTGATATCTACCTCTTTCTTTCTTTGTAAAACTTTCTAGTTCACCTCTCAGTGGATAAACCTTACCAGAGACATCCTGGTGTACCTGATGGAACAGCTGGAGGGAGGATTTGAAGGCAGGGGTGTCCGGGAACCCCTGGAAAGAACAGCTGTCATACTCATATTTCATTTTAGTGTCTTTATTTGCCCATTTCCCAGTTTCTGCCCCATGTGCACAAGGAACAAGACATTCTACGAAGAGGAGTGAATTCACTTTCTTTATAAACTACAAAGACAAACCTTTCTGATGCTGACATGTAAATAACCAATCCATACACATCCCATCCATTTGAGTGACAGCCTCTTGCCCTCCCCACCCAAGCACTCCCTTTCCCCACCCCTCCCCCACCACTCAAACACTCTCCCATCTCCTGCCCTTTCCTGCATACATCACACTCTTTGTGACTTATTTTTCCTTCCCTCGACAAATTTTGTTTTAGTGTCGTAAAGCTGATGGGAAGCCCGGGTGGAGAAAGGAAGATGAACACAAGGACCAGCTTCAAGTCACCTGTACTGTTTGAACCCTATTAGGTGAAGCCAGAGTGAGGGCTTCAAATGAGAGTCACCTGCCTGTTTTCTCAAGGGAAGATCAATAGAAAGATGAAAGAAAAAAAATTCCTCTGTTTTCTCCAGGTAAATTTCCTGAGTGAAAAACATAGTAACATTTCAAATATTTCCAAGCATGTTTTGGGATAAATCAAAACATTAATCAAAGCCTCTGAAGTTCAAAAAAGCAAACAAATGATTGCTAATTAAATTACTATTAGAGATACTGTGCTAATTCTAAGGTCTCTTTTGGTGCTAACATTATATGATTCAGAGTATAATTTTATTCTTTAACTATAGGTTTATAGTTGTTATACTGATAATTTACAACACACCATTGTCATAGCTAAGCAAATATTAGTTGATAGGTCTTACGCTGTAGTGGGATCTCCCTAGTATAATAGTGCTGTTAAGGTATATCTTGTAATGATACATTATATAACAACTTTTACAGGACAAAGCTGTTATAAGGAAAGCTTATAACAACCCTTTAAATGCTTAAAAGTATCTCTTAACTAAGCTTTTAGGGTTATTAGCTTGAGTTGGGGGTTTCAGTATATTAAAAAGATGACATAGTAAGATTTTCTTTAGTAATTTATTCATTTCATTTTTATTACACCTTTATATAATACTCCCTGAGAAGGATTAACAAGTGTTAACAAACAATTCTACAAAAAGTAGGAGGGGAGCATGGAAGAGGGGGAAGAAAAGATTGTCAACCCCGGCAAAAACTGAAAAAGTCCTGCTTAGTCTTTAAATACCGGCCATTTTCAGGACTTTAGTTGGGGTTTATCTATTATGTATCCAAATCTATCTATGTGACACATTTCAGTCAAATCGAGGTTTCACAAGGAATCCAGTACTCTTAAGCATCATGCCAAGCTGTAATGCTTTCTCGAAGATGCTGTTCAGATTCAGACAGCTCTCAATGCTTTTGAAGCAATAACATCTTGAGTCTGAGATACTGTAATTCAGTGGTTCTAAATGAATGCATAATCTCTCCCTCTTCGACTGAAATTTAACATTCTGTCTTTCTCCTAACTCTCACCCTTTAATTATCTATCTAGGTAAAAATGTGCTTGGAAAAATTTTTTTCCCATGCATACATGGAATTGCAAAGTAATTCCACAGAGTGGAAAATGCTGAACTTCTCATAAATGTACTGTTGACCCTCAATTCAGACTTTTGGCAGGTATGATCTTGATTTATTTTCTCATTTTTCCTACATGAATGTTTACTATCTTGTTTTTAAAATCTGTTTGTAGGATCCATAAGACCAGAGACCCCATGGTAAAAAAACTTTCTTAGATTTTTCACAGTGCCGTGCCAGAAAGTACACATGAATACTTTTTTTGCTGTTTTACTTAAGAGAATGAAATTTTTTTTTTAACAGCTATGCCATTGAATGTTATAAGCTGTAACTACCAAGGTATCTTAGACAAGTCACCACCTTTCCTGGCTCCAGTTTCTCTTGGAGAAGATTTTTCCAACTAGAGAATTTAGTTTTTGGAGTAAGACAGAACTTAAAAAAACAAACAACTATTTCTTCCATTTACTAAAAGCAGGAATTGAACCCATGGCCTAATCTCTTTGAACTTTCAATTTCTCACCTGTCCTTTGGGGATCAAGACAGTAGTTTCACCTCACAGTGATTTGTTTTTGTTTTTTGTTTTGATGCAGCATGAGAACATAAATGTAAAGAATGCAGCACATTACCTGAACTTTGGTTTATGTTCAAAAATGTCAACTATTATTATATCAATTTTCTTTCAGCCCTAGAGCACTAAGATTAGAAGTAAAATCTTCATTATCAAGCACCCAAATCCCTAGTATCCTCAGCTGTTCTGGCGCCACTTGGAGCCCCAAAGTAAAAAAAAAAAAAAAAAAAGTCTTATCAAGAACAACCTGATTCAATGCCCATTTTTAGTACCATTGAACTCACAGAGTAAATAGATTAATTTTAATAATCATTGAAGTTATGATATTCATAACTGAGTCAGTCAGAAATGACAAAGACAAATTGTTTTAAGACAAATGACTATGAAACTTGTTCTGAATTAGACACAGGACATCACCAATAGGTCATGGGTTTGCACAAAGACACTGACCTGGCTCGCTGGAAGTGAAGAACAGAACACCCTGCTCACCGCTGGACTTACCTGCATAAAAGAGAGAAATAACTTTATAAATCCTACTGCTTGCTAGAAGCATATGGGGAGCCACTAACATTTTCAGCATACATCATTTCCCCCCGCCCCCAAAGGGCAGAATCTGCTGTACTTTTGCTAAGTGTCAGTGTTAAAATGGCATATCTTGGGGTCAGAGACATCCTGAAATAGCTAAGTTAACTTTCTGTTGCATTTCTGAAAATATATTTCTGAGCATTTAGGGATGATATGAAAAAAGCATTTAGCCTCAGACTCATGAATATGAACAAGGTAAACTTTACAGGCATTTTACAATACAGGAGTCACGGAAGTGGACATGCTCTTCCTCCAAAATAACATTTTTAGACAGTATTTTCATAAGTAAAAGTCCGAATGATTGTGTTTTTTCCTATTAAATTACATTTGCATAGTTAATAAGTTATGTTGTGCCAACGACATCAAATTACCCATGCTTTTACTTACAACTCTATGATCACACATAGCCCTCTGTACTTAAGTTTACACGACCTTCAAAATTTGGGAAAACAACAATCAATGGGCAAGTTTAGAATACTGACCGTGATTTTAGTGCTTCCTAATCATTTTTCAAAGTCTTCCACACTGGGATGAACAAGTTAAATCCCCTTCCCACTAATACGATCAAATATGATCCAGGAATCTCAGAGGAAACCTAGTTTAATAATACTTTGTTGCCCACTCCACCTGCGGAGCAGTATGCAGACATTATTTATATTGAAAAGAGCTTGTGTTTATTTTCTAGCAACTCTCTTAGGCATCTAGAGTTATTGAAAATGAAATATAATTCCAAATTTCTGAAGGGTGTTTGCAAATGAACTTACCAGTGTATGTTTAGAAAAGCCCAGTTTGCTGAAACCAAACAAACAGCCTATCAGCTATTTATATACACGGATAGTGAGAGGACAGTTACACAAAGATGAAAACTACTGTTAACAGTACTTTTGCAGTTCAGAGGGGCTACAGCAGTACAGTGTAGAATATGCAGCACGGCGGGTTGGTGCTGGGGGAGCCCCAAACTAGTGAAACTTCAAGCTGAGCTTCTGGCTGCGGTCCAGCAGAGCTGCATGAACAGCACAGGTTGGGGGAAGTTCAAAGTCAAGGCGACTCTTCTGGTCTCAACTTCCCAGATCTTCCTAGGTCTGGGTGCCTTTGAGTATATATATCAGTCTTCATGCATTTCCCCCCCCAGCAAATGTGTACAGTCAGCTCGAAAGGCACAGCTTGTGTGCTGACGTGCAAAGCCAAGTCAAAACCCTGCGCTTGGCGCTCCCTTCTAACTTTCTGGCTTGTCCAAGTCTAAATATTGACATTGCTCCTCAGTTGACATGTTTGATACTGCTGAGGATAGAAACGGCAGAGCTAGCAGTAGGGTCTAATGATATATTTTTACATAGTTGTGCCTTCCTTCCTACTTTTTTTTTTTTTTTTTGTAGAGGGGGTTGGATTCCCTTGTCTGCACATCTTCCTCCCCACCCTCCCCCAACCCTGTTTTTCTCCCGGAAAGCTGAGCGTGCAGAGACAAGGTAAGGTGTTTTGCAAGCCCCTAATGGCAGCTCCTACTGTTGTCACAGCAACTCACAACAGACTCCACAGACACGGGGCTGGGGGTGGGGAGCGCCAAACTGTGGGCTGACCAGTCAACTCTTACAGGGGTGCAAGCGCCAAAGGGGCTAGCGTCCCCCTTTTCAGTTCCTCCGGCTCCCCACCACTGTCCTTCGAAGGAAAAGAGCACTCTGGTCGGCACGGCGCCACCCCCTCCCTGGCGCAGCCAGCCTGCTAAGGGTGCCTATTGTGCATTTTCTCAGCTCCAACTTAGGGGTGCGGCTGTGCGGGCGCTCCTAGAAATCTCTTCTGCTTGCCTCTGATGAGAGGGTTCCCGG